AGCGGGGTTTTGGAGATCGGCTGTTTATGCAACAGAAACTGTCTAACGTACCAGCGGCGGTTGATTGGCGCGTGACGGGGCTATTTAGGCAATGAACAAACCTATTTCGACAATATATTCGCTCACAATCATGGAACGCACGGCGACTCGGAGGTGGAAAACCATGTTAAACGCTTTTGATCATTGCTCAAATGTCTAAGCTGTTCGTCAATGTAGTCTTTGGTGCCGGCAAGATCTGTTTTAAAAAGATTCATCGGGAAGAATGGTGCACGAACAACCCGCAAAGATCAAGTCTATTGTAAATTGCCAAGTGCTTCTGTCGCAAATAGTCTTAATATTTTCACAATTGCTTGGCCTGTCTATCTTTTTGCACAATTATAGCTCAGGTTGTGTCGACATGGCTCGTCCCCTCACAAATCTCCTTTGTAGGATGTCAAATGATGATAGGTTGCGGTAGAGAGGGCGCCCCTCTAGGCTGTTGAAGAAAGCTTCAAGGTTCTTTATTCTGGCTCTTTCAAATCTAGACCTGACACTCTATGTCGTCTATAATGCTCCAGGATTTGACACAAGTTGTGTCCGCTCAAAGCAGCTATCAATTGACAAAAAAGAACGCAGAGTCTTGCAAATTTAGAGCAACAGAGGGAGAAGAAATATCTCCAGTTTGCGACAAAGCTTTAAAGGGGCTCTTGTCGATTTAAGAGTATACACTACTTGCTCTATGTTATTTCTGACCGCTACAACTTATGCCTTACTGCGCACAGCGAAGTCGTCACCAATAGTTTTACATAGAATAACATATAGTCATCTTTTTTCGGACAAACCTTTGAGGTATGGTACATTTCGAGTCGGCTTAATGCGCTTCCAGATGCGCTTTTGTGCTCGTTTGACTGTAAATCGTAGTATGTCACGATGGTGACCTCGCTCATGGATGACGTGGAACGTACAGCGTACGGGCCAAACGCGACGTGTGTTGGATTGCTAACAACTTCTGAGCAGGGATTCGTGAGCTCAGTTTGCGCATTATCGAATCAGTTGCACATTTGCGGCGATATTCCTTGATATACTTTACATTTTCTTCACGTATGGTCGTGCCGTATGATGAGTATCTCAAGTACAAAATTCAATACGATGCACGAGATCGGCCATCTTTGAAAAGTAAAGACATGCTGCCCAGTAAGACTGTACACTAGTAGCTCGGCATACATTAGTGGTAAGCACGTGCGAAGCGTGGCAGCGAATGATACTCTCACCACATGTGTCTGCACCTACGATAAGCCTGACGGTTCCGATTGAGTGTTAGCAGTCTGTAAGTATGTGCTTAATTCTAATTATTCGAAAGGCTTTTTCATCAAAACCGGCATTTTAGTTTGTGTGGACGGCCAAAGCAAGGTTGCCCATCTCGCTGCTGTCAGCGAGAAGATTATCGGCGAGAAAATATTCAGGTTGTTCACGATAACAGTGTTCGTCAGCATGACTTGCCGGTCGTCAATGTGTCGAATTATATATCCGTGCTTTACAGCGTGGTTTTGGCAAACATTATCCAAAGACACAGAGCTCGGTACCAATGAATAAATACGCCAATCGGTGGCCAGTCGCAGACAGATGGTCAGATGAAAGGCATTAGCTGCTTGTTAAACGATGCTCGTCAAAGCACTTGCGCGAAGAGACCACAGCGCAGAAGCGAGTTGACCCCACTCATTTAGTTTGTGTTAAATAGCGCAGCGCATGTCTCTTCAGATTTACCTTATTTCGTATCGATGGTGTTATTGGTCTCCAGGCTCCTTTGATATCAACACAAAGCATCTTCGGTCTCGGGGATAGATATAGTTATTGATACCATTGGACTCGCAAATGTCAGTCTACTATAAATTGTAGCAGAACCAGAGGATTATCTCATTAAAAATTTAGAAACGTGTGCCGGGGTCGTGATGCTATAGCTGAGAGCGAGGGAGTCCAAAGGAAAGACCATCAATGTCAGAAGCAGGCAAAACCCGCATGAATATGATGTGGGGAGAAAAGTTATACTAGATGCGGTAGCCTACTTACACATTCATCACTCGTGGCTGTAGGACTAAGTTGCTACCACGCTACGTTGCGCTGCTCATGGACATTGTGAAAAATGGTTCAGTTATACATTCTAAAGCAAAGGAGACGGCATCTGGTGGTCAACATGAGCTATCGTCAGCCATACAAAGATCCCAATCTTACGATCAAGTCGATGCTAAATGGTTTTTATAGACAACGCAGCGTTTTTTCTCTCTTGTAGCTAAGCTACAGACTGATTTTGAGCAGCGACGCATTTTTGAACCGCTGAGAGATTCTCAAGCCACGCAGTTCTATGGCGTAGCTTCGACAGCGCATCCGAAATGTTGCCCATCTCAGTTTTGAAAGCAGGGCCAAATTGCCGTGACTATCAATGATAGTCGAAGTGTCGCCACAACCGACGATACAGCGCACAACTCCATGTTCTCCGCCCACGCTGCTTGATGCAGCTGCTACGTGAGGCGGCAACTGGACCGGCGGGTACACCAGGGCTATCACTAGTATTTGATGAAGTGGAAAGTATACCCTTACTTTGAGCTCTTGAATGGTTAGGGAAACATCATTGGTATGATTCTCCGGATGCCGATACCGCTAATGATCTTTACCTTTCATCTTCCACAAAGAATAGGCAGTGTCTCCCGGCGCAGCACGCTTCCAACTTGCTAGTGGAAACTGACTTATTGTAAGTTGGGTATTGGTCGGCAGCTGCAATAGCTATCTCATGAAGACAAACTGGCTATAACAGCAAGAACTGAGGTTGATGATTTACCACCTAGCCGTCCAAGCTATCTGTGTCAAGCATTTAAACAAAATTCATGTCAAACGTCGCTTTACTAAGATTGGACTTTGAGCTGTTGACGATCACACAGTGCTGATGCTAAATGCGACATCTTCTAGTGCTCGTACCACATTCGGTGAGAGCGGAAAGCTCGTAATTACAGGCGAATTGGGGCCCACTTCAGTGCGACGAGTAGTTACAACCAATCTGAGGCTCCTCTCACAACGTTGCTGTGTCGGCAGGAGTCGTTGCGCCTTAGGCATGCTGGGATTCCTACTTCGACCCAAAATCTTAAGTGGAAAGCTGGGTATCGTTGTGGATTTCCTGTCGGCCTGTTACAACACCTATCGCCATAGAAAACTAGCGAGGAGCACGTAACCGATGCAGTGATAGGCAAGAGAGTCAATGATCGCTCTACGAAAGGGCGAGGGTGTCGAATTGAGACTCGCTGCGATCGCACTTATCGAATAGCATATCGGCCTCCTAACCAAGTATAGTCTACAAGCTGTCGGTTGCAAGGACCGCACCCGTTATCGAAGGCTTGCTGGATCAGCGAATGGTGTTTACTGGGGAGGACTTCCAACCTGAAGATTTAGAGGCCAATGCTGCTGAGTGCAAGGAATGAAGCAGAATTCTAATCGCGGTAGATGCTCGTTGAGCGTTTACTTTCGCGCGGTGTCGCAAAGGTTGTAAGGAATACGAGCACCAGTTTGGTCCGCATCTTGGTGGAGGCAAGTGCAAGTGGGTACGTAGTGTGCTCTTTGTGTGCTTACCGATTACTATTCCGTATTGTTTTGCAAAATACATATACTTACACCAGACTTTTTTATGTTTGTGATATATAATGGGAATTACTAAAGTAACTGAGACCTCCTGAAATCGGGGTCCGTGGTATACATGGGCTGTGAGCCTCACGTTGAGCGGTATAGAGAGTTGTATAATTGGATATAGTCGTACGTATATATATGATATTAATTTAGAAGTGCAAATGTCAGTCTTGGCATACAAGAAATACTTACTCGCTTCCGTTTTTGGGTGAAGTGTACGAGCCCAACCTCTGTGCGTTGTATACACAGATACTCTGCTAGAACTTGCTCAGTGCGAGGTGCACGCAACCCCGTTGCACTTCACCCAGGAGCGGAAGTGAGGACCGCTGGAGTAACTAAACTTGCTCTTCTATTCTAGGAGGCATTAAAAATTGATTCTGTGAATTTTCTACTTCAAACGCCGTTACATGCAGTGTAACCCT